TTTTTTTTTTGTTTCTTATTTGTTTGTAGAATAAGCAATTAAAAAGCCCTAATGTGTAGAAAATATGTTTATTGAGATTTTTAGAGAATATTAATTAGTTTATTTGTAAACATATTAAAAATTTGTATCTAATTATGTGTTTTTATGCTTTGTTTATTGAGATTTTTAGAGAATATTAATAGATCTATTCTGATTTATTGTGTATTCTGATGTTAGGGCTGGGAGTTTACGTATTTAATTCGAATATAATTTGAGTAGCGTGTGTGTGTGTGTGATGCAGAGAGATTTTACAAAGCCTAATAATTTGTTAACTCTCCAATTTGTTAGACTTATATTCTTGTAAACTTCACAAATTTTCTGCAGGCAGGACTAATTTATTATTCAGTCTCTCTAATGGAAGAGATCCTCTCTAACCTATCAATGGAAGAAGACATGATAGAAGAGATTTTGGTGAAATTTCCGGTGAAAACATTGATGCGTATGAAGTGCGTTTGCAAGTCTTGGTGTAGTTTAATCGCGAGTCGACGTTTCGCCGAAAAGCATCTCAACCACCACTCTGCAAACAAATCCAATGAACAAATTTTGATTTTTCGTACTCTGGAAAAGGACATTGTTTCCCTTCATTCCCCCGAATCACTAAACTTTGTTGCGCCACCTCTACCAATTGCGAAAAAGACCATGGTAGTCGGGCTTATTTCTACACCTTGCAATGGGTTGATTTGTTACCAATCCGCAAACAACGAGATTATGTTGTGCAACCCTTCGACTCGAGAGTTTAAGCTACTCCCTCCGAGCCATTTCCCTCAACTCTATGGATACAAATATAGAGATCATGCAATCGGATTCGGAATCCACAACAATGACTACAAGGTTATTTCAATTGCATATTACCTTCCTGAAGGCCATGTCAGCAACCAAGACAGATTATTCAAAGCTCGAATTTACAGCACGGTTTCCAACACTTGGAGAAGCACCTCCCACGACCCCACACCAGTATATATTAAAGGCATTGTGCCCACGGTCAATGGGCGTTGCCATTGGATCTCGTACCATCCCGAAAAACCAACAAAACTGTTCATACTTTCTTTCGACATGCACGACGAGATGTTTCTTTCTATGGAGCTTCCTAGTGTAGTCAAGTTTCCAACCGATGAAAATCTTCTTCAAGTTTCGGATGGATCTCTTGCAGTGTACATCGGTTGTGGCGTAGCCGTTGATATATGGGTGATGCAAGAATATGGGGTGGTCGAATCGTGGACAAAGAAATTCACGTTTCAATATACGTTGTATTCACGTGGGGATCCCCTACTCTTGTGGAAGAATGAGATCCTTCTTATGCCGAGCATTGGGAAGGATCTCAAAGTGCGGTTGGCGTGGTCGTATGGGGACCAAAGGTTTGAAATAGATGGCAGTTGTTGTTGGAGATTCCGAGCCATGCATTACGAGGAAAGTTTAATATCCCTAAAGTGAGATTAAATTTATGACGTTTGGTTAATAAATTGCGATTATTATCTATTTTTGCGTATTTGCTTGCTCGTGCTGGGATTCAACGAATTTTGGTGTGTTTGATCCTTTTTTTAAATTTTGAATTCAATATGCTCTCGATTTTATTTTGTGATTGTTAGTTTACATGATGTATTAGTTTGTTTTGTTGCTGTATCTTGTTTGTTTCGAATTAATCCGGTGTTATGAGCACATTTAAAAAAAAAAAAAATATATATATATATCGAAGGCATATAAATTATTGTCAACAGAGAGTCTGAAAATTGTTTGTACCTGTCAAGACACTTTAATTAATACAATGGCTTCACATAAACCAGTACAAACGTATAACAAGTCAATCTTCGAACAAACTAGTTATCAAATCTTTGACAAAATCTCCATTCCTTTCCTTCTAATTTTACTCCTTTTTTTCTTTCCATTCGAACAAGTGGGTTTTCCCATTCTCATTTCGTCCTTCGTGTTCGAATCTCGAACGGCGAGTAGGCTCTCGGTGGTATTGACTCTCTCCCGAGCCAAGCTCCAGACAATGAGCTTCATCACATTCATGAATGGTAATCCCGATTGAGGATGTAAAAGAGACCGGACAAAAGACTTCTGAGGAAACCGGGTTGGGGCACATCTGCAAATGTGATTTGATGCCATTTCCGGGGGATTTTGTAAATTAAACAATGCCATGTCTATTAAACAATACCACAACCTGAAAGATAACATTATCATGAAAAGTGGAATGATAGAGGACAAACTTTATTGCACAACTATAAGTACATCTATTATTTGTCAACTCAACAAATTGCACCAGAAAGATCTCTCCTTTGTTTGTTGAGTGTGTGGTTTTAGGTGCTTAGTTTATTTTACAAATTAAATGTTTGAGTTTCTTTACTCCATTATATTGCAACTTTATCCATACTCTTTTTAAGAATCAAAACAAATTATGGTCATAACTTTATCCATCATTCTTTTAAGAATCAAAACAAAATTATGGTCATGGTATACTAATGAAAGAGAGAAAAGGGGAAAGATTAATTACAAATATTGTTAATTGATGATTAGGGATGTATTGGTCAAATTTTAAGTCTCTAATTTTTAGAAAAAGGAAATCTAAAAATGATAGCTTAAACAAAAGAGGTAGTTTTGTTAAGAAAATGCAGGCGTCGAGGGGATATTCGTAGTAGTGTCAAGGAATATATGTTTTCAAAATTTGAAATACGACATAACACGCCAGAAACCAACAAGAATTTCGAAATTGGAATACAATCAACCAAAAACAAACGATGTGAAACAGAATTATACCTTCCGCTGCCACACTACAAGCTCTCTCTAGGCAAACTGTACGCATATTGGCATCGGATAAACTGATAATTTCATCCCAGATTCTCTGCAGAAATAAGACGGAATTTTTTATGCCACTATCAGAAAAAATTACAATTTACAAATAATACAGGACATTAAATGTTTCTATTTTACAAATTGCAGCATGCAAACCTCAAGAGAGTTTTTTTTTT